TCTTTATCTTGGTCTGTACTAATTTCCACTCCAAATAGGCTGGAAATTCGTACAGAATATACAAAAATATCCCACATTGCAAACTGTTAGTAAAGACCCAACAAGAGCAGAGCTTGGGCTACCTATGATGGAATGAACCACCTATGGATCCATTACTGTTTCAATTTATTGCTTTTTCCTTCGCTGTTTTCATTCTTGATGTCTTCAACCTTAGGTCTTCGCTGTCTGGACAAGTACGATAAATGCTCTGACTATGCACATTTACAGCAGTGTGGAACAACAGCTTGGATTGACTTCAACTGTCGCAAGAGTTGCGGGACAAAGTGTGATACCTATCCTGTAAAACCTGAAGGTATAGTCTGCCTGGATCCGTTTTGCCTTCAGCACAGCCTATGTGTATGTCCTTAAATTATCATGCGATTGATAATTATCAATGATCAATTTTTGATTTGTATCTTCTTTTTTCCAGGATCCTGTTCTAACGCATTAGGTCTTGGTTGGCCGGGAGATTACAAACTGCCTGATGCTAACTTCTTTGCTACTTCCAATTTTAAACCAGGTAACACTGATCAAGTTAAAAGTTTTTTTAAACTAAAAAATGATTGCTTGTTTATACTCTTCCTTTTTCCCTCTCCTTCACTTGTTTTGTTTCGAACCTTCTTTGTCTTTTGTCTCGTTCTATCCCTCTCCTTTTTCCTTTCTCCTTTCTTTCCCTCCCATCATCATTTTCTTCTTCGCTCCCTCCCTCCTTCCCTAACTACCCCCCTACCTCCCATCCTTCTTCCTCCCTACCTCTCCCCCTACCTCCTTCCCTACCTACCTCCCTACCTCCCTACCTCCCTACCTCCCTACCTCCCTACCTCCCTACCTCCCTCCTAATTGTACAAGATTGAATTCGAAGGTAATACACTGTGGTCACTGATATAAAATGGTGGTGTATTGATCACAGGAGATTGGAGCGCAGCTGCTGACAACGCTCGTCTTTACCAAGAAGATGATTCAAGTAGAAAGAGGATTGGTGCTTGGTGTGCTACGGAAAGAGACAACCAGTACGTAGGAGTGGACCTGGGCAAGGACATGAGAGTCAGGGCTATTGCTACCCAGGGTAGGTACACTTTAATTTGCACCGTGTGTCCATAGTTTTAGAGTGTTATGAAATTCTAATATCTAATTTCCATTTTAGGCAGAGACGATTCTCATGAAGTAGTTCAGAAATACAAACTGTCATTTAGCTCGGATGGGACGAACTATAGGTTTTACCAAGAGAATGGTAGCGACAAGGTAAAACGAAAGTGTAACAATTACAATGATTAACAACAGTGTTTGAAATAGCTAGAGAAAGATGAAGGAAGGAAGGACGGACGGAAGGAATTAGAAAAAATGAAGAAAAAAAAAAAAAAAAAAAAAAAAAAAAAAAAAAAAAAAAAAAAAAAAAAAAAAAAAAAAAAAAAAAAAAAAGAAAAGAAAAAGAAAAGAAAAAATGAAAACAAATGTTAAAAAAAATATTTCAACAAACTGGGATGAGAGTATTTTGCTCCTGTTTCAGGTGTTCGACGGTAACTGTGACTTCTTTACTCCTGTAATCAACACTTTTACGCCTACTCGAGCTCGTTACGTCAGACTTCACGTGGTCAAAGCAAGTTATCCGTGTGTAAGGATGGAGCTGTATGGCTGTGATGTATAACTGCGCATGACAGGTATACTAAAGCATGTTTCTTTGTATCTGGGTTTTATAAATAAATATTACTATGTGCAAAAAGTTCCTTACAGTGTGGTTCCATGTTGCTTTCCTTCATGATGTTGGTGGTACCTACTCATACGGTTGTTTGTTTCTATTGCTCCGTTTCTTTGCTGTTTTGTCGGGCAGTGTTGCAATACACGACTTTGCTAATACTATACTCTGGTCGTGCTGGATGATGGGATGATAAAAATAATCCTTCCATCCAGCACGACCCGAGTATTAGCAAAGTCGTGTTTTGTAGCTCACTGATGTATGTGGTAATGATATTTTTTTTCTTTCTTCCCTTTCCTTAAGCATATCAAACATTGAGTGTGGTATTTCCCTGTGTCTGTTGTCTGCGAGGCAGATCCACGAGTTAGCATCTTCCCTGTATCCTTCCTCAATTTTCTAAAGTTTTTCTTTTTTTTGATTGTCTTTTTTTTCTTTTCTTTTCTTCTTCAAAAATGTTCATGTCGAATTCGTTATAAAACGACGGTCTTTTTGCTTGCCGCTTTTCCTCACAATCCAAATATGGAATTGATCATACCATATATATGGAGTGAGCTTTCTCTGCACCAACTTCGACACTAACATATAGAGTAAGGCTTGATATGTTTGTTAGAGGATTTGCTGTTTGCTGCTGCTGCTGCTATTGTTGTTCTACCACTGTTATTGTTTCCGATGTTACTGTTGTTGCTTTTATAACATTGTTATTGTATAATGGGATTAGCTTCTCACAAGTAACACCAAAAAACTAACATATTTGGTCTTCTATACTATCGAACTACTCTATTATTATGTTATATTTAACTTGTATTCTCGTTTTGCAGGTGCAAGAAATGTTCACAAAGAATCTAAAGAGTATTACTTATACCTTTAATGATTTAATCTTAGCGAAAATAAAGCCAAATTAGCAATAAATTACAGAGTAATGAAATACTCATCTTTGACTTTCTTTTACTTTATCGTAAAGGTCCTTCAAGGAATGTAAGAGTTATGAGTTTTTTTCATGGGGTAATATAGGAAAACATATGAAAGAAGACAAGATTGGAACAACGTAAATTTAGGGCCAATATAAACATGCAATTGACGTGCAAAAGCAAAAAGGTTTCGACGATTGAAAGCTCGACTTTAAAGCAAATTATATAGCTTTCGTTCGTAGCCGAGTTATGGTAAATTTAGCTTATTTGAGGAGTCTACATTTGGCGTGACTCCTATCTTTACAGCGAGTAACAGTGGGTAGAGTGGGTTTAGGCCTGAGAATATAGGTCTATCATAATATGTATGGAAACTAATTTGGTAATCGTAACTTGCTGGTTAATGGACCAAATCCACTTGGGGGTAATATTCAGACCACGTATAATTCCCTAGAGGTAACACATRTAAAACAAGACTAAATTCATTGAATGTTTTAAACAACAAAGCAATAAGACTTATAACATTTTCCCATTACCAATCACATGCACCACCTACATATAAAACTCTAAGGATTCTTCAATTAAAAGATATTGTATTTAGTTAAATCGCCTTATTTATGTATGATTTTGTTAACAATAATCTACCAGTTGCATTTTCCAACTAATTTACTTTCTCATCCGATGCTCACTCACACAACACTCGTTATTCTATGCATAATTTTCAGTTACCATCAATAAAAACTAACTTTGACAAGTTCTCATTTAAATTTTCAGGACCAAAAATTTGGAGTTCAATAAACTATGCGAATACAAAACGGCTCTCACGATCACTGTTTTCTAAAACTTTGAAAAATAACTGTTTGGATTCATATGACTAATTCTGTATATCTCTTTCAATTTACTAAAGCAATTCACGTATCTGTATATCATATTTGATATTGTCATTTATATGTGAATGATGGGGAGCTTCGAAAACTTGTGTTACTTCAGCTCCCCAGCACCTCGGCATAATCATTTTTCTCACTATCTATATTTTACTTTCTTTAATAGTTGAAACTTGTTAATTTATCATCTATTTTGTTATTGTAAAGTATCTCATGAGTGCAAGTAAAGAAAGGAAATAGAGTATCATTTCTTTGTTTACCGTTTGCGCGTAAGACGACACGTGAATATGGATACAGCTTAAACTAAGATTTATATTCTCCAGGGAATCATGACATGTGTGGTCTGAAATGGGAAAATATTACGCCTAATAATAGGAATTGGTCTATAATTAGATCACCGATACATCTCGAATCTCATGGATATATGACTTTGCCAGCAATTTGGAAGGACCCTTATCTAGCTGGCTACGATGGCTGGCTCTACATCCCCCAAAAATCAGTTGTGCTTCTTTCTTGTTTCCTGTGATAGAGTAACTGTACTTGCCACCTTGGTAGTCCTTCAAAGGGCACCCATCTGCAGTAAGATTTTACCAACAGCTTATAACCTTTGCTGCAATACCCGTGTTACCTTGATAACTCTTACATGGTGTACATCCGAAACTTTTCGCGGGCATAGTCTATTTTATGAGTTTTCGTAGACAGATTTTGACAAACTATATCAATCAATTTATATTGATTTGTACTTTAAAGCTACTATGATATACCTAAATAAATTAAAGTACGACAGATTTAAAAGTATATGGAGTCTTAATTATCCATTGAGTTTTTTCAGCTGTTTATTTAATGTGAAAATTAATTCCGTGGGAAAAACACCATTCCTAATTAGATATACAACAGAAAACACATAAATTCAGCAAAATTTTATTGCTGTTTTCTTTCTTACCCACCCCTCCTCCTTTTTATATTTGTTACTGCTTCCTTGCTTCCTTGCTTCCTTGCTTCCTTGCTTCCTTGCTTCCTTGCTTCCTTGCTTCCTTGCTTCCTTGCTTCCTTGCTTCCTTGCTTCCTTGCCTATCTCACCGAATATTCTAGGCAAAACAAAATGTAAGATGTAAGCGCATTTCTTCCTTCCTTCCTTCCTTCCTTCCTTCCTTTCTTTCTTTCTCCTTTCTTTGTTTTCTCATTTGCTTGCTTGCTTTCTTGTTTTCTTCCTTCCTTTTCTTCTTTGTAGCTTTCTGTCTTAAATTCCTTTCCCCGGCCTCCTTATTTTTTGTTTGCTTGCTTCTTTCCCTTCGTCCTCCTCCCTCCTCCTCATCGTTAGTTTATTTCATTTCTCTGACAACTTAAACAACGACTAAAATCAAGCCGCGAGGGGAAAAAAAAAAAATATATATATATATATAATAATAATAATTAGAATGAAACATATATTTTCGAAAAAATGGCAGGGGGCAAAAAATGAAATGCAATTGCCAATGATTATTATCAAACTGCTGAGTAAACGTCCAAATAAACCAAGGTCAACACCCACTTTTTTCCCATATTTTTGGCACCGTTTTGTAAACTTTGTTTGGAATTAATTAGAGCGAATTTCCAGATTGTTTGCGAAGCATGGAAAAGTTGTCACTCTTATTTTCTCTGAGGTGATTATCGAATGGTCTATAAAAGAAAAAAAGATTTGTTTTCGTTCACTTAAAGTTTGCCGCCATTAGAAAAAGGACTTCCAAAGCGTATCATACAATCCTTGCACCATCGGCAATCAGGCGGTAACAATGTTACTCATTGTGGCCACCGTTTCTATTTTTCTCTCTGTATCTCCAGTTCATGGCTGTACCATGGCCAACTGGTGGGCGAGCTTTGACAAAGCTGGTTATTCATCATGCGGTAATCTGAATGATTATATTAATGGACTTAACAGAAACAAGAATCATGGAAATAATGATGGAATTCACCTGATTGAAGAGGCAAGGTGTTGTCCCCGTCCTCAACCATACTATAACCAACCTACTCAATGCGTTGCTGCTGATTGGGCCAATAGTTTCGACAGGTAAGACATCATGAATTCATGAAGTGGTATAGTCCAGTTCATAGTTAAAGAATAGCTTTAAAATATTTTTCAGTGCGCATGGGATTTTATACCGAATTTCTCACCCTCTTTTAGATTAATTATGAACAAAGGAAGTTTTAAACGAAAGAAGACGAGAAATTTGGCATAAAATCGCAAGCGCAATGAAATCGATTTTTATGAACTGGCGGCTTAATGCTCTAATCTCTCACTTATCAGTTTCGATTCCTGGCCTCAGCATTACATATGAGTAGAATCTAAGKTCTCTCCCCTTGAATCGATCCCCTACCTCCCGATTTCTGGCAATTTGTTAGGTCTCTCCTTTGTATCGGGGTTTTGTTGTTTAATATGATGGGCAGAATTTGTTAGGTCTCTAGATTAAATCGAGGCTTCTTCTCTGATCAAGTTTTATTTTCATTCCTTAAACAAAGACCATGATTAATTGCAGGTCCATATGTGACATAGCTGTGCTCTGGTTTGCGAAGTGTGATGGGAGGTCCAGGGATGGGGTTCACACGATGCACAGCATTGCACGAGTAACTGACGACACCCATTATTCGCATATTGAAATAATTTCATAAACTTTGAATAAACTCATAAAAGGCTTTTATCGAACATTTACAGAGACAACACTTGGAACAACTGTCCTCAAGGAATGTTCTTGCAAGGACTCTATAGGAGCGGCGATTCCAAGCTGTTCAACATCGAGTACGGTCGGTGCTGCAAACCCGCTAGCCACCCCTACTGGTATGGTCATTGCTATCAACAGAATGTAGCAGCAAGTTTTGACAATCAAGGGACAAGCAAGTGTAGAGATGGGTACTTTCTGACTGGTCTGTACCGTGGAAATTGTGACAAACTGTACTGTATTGAGCATTTCAGATGCTGTAAGATGTATCCAAGTAAGTCATATACATATATCCTATATACAAGTAGTAATCGAAGTAGGATAATGCAACAAAATTTTTCCTGCCGCTATCCTTTCCTCAAAGCATTAAATAATGACCGGTATCTTTACTCACTGAGCTGTTCCAGCCTTCGTAAGTATAGCCGTGCCTCATTCAAAACTGTAATTTATTCATATTTGTATCTTGCAAAATATTTGGGAAGCACCGGTCAGCGTAGCAGTGAGAGCCCTCGCCTTTCCTTTTGTGTATGAGATATATAATTATAATTTGTCCCAAAGCAATGTTTTCTGTGCATTTCCGAGTTGTTTTGCTTTGAAATCAAGCGGGATTCCGGTTTTGTGTACACGGACGGAAGTACGTACGTACGGAAGTGACGTAGTAGTCAAGCCATGAAAAATCAACCCGATGGTTACCATGTTTTCTTAAGTATGGTGCTCCGCTATAATTACTCAATAACTAATGAACATTTTTCTTTCCGACGTATTATTCAGGTCCTCCACCACTTTCATCTTTGTCTGATGTCAAAACACGTGTCATGGATGTAACGGTAAGAAATCTTGCTCTACTTGCTCATTACCTTGGCTACGGCTGGTGCGCTGGATGTAGAGCCCAATACGTCGGTGAAGACTTCAGAAGAAACGGGGACAGCTGGGAGGCCGACAAAAAGGGACCGTGCAACGGCTACAAGGCTGACCACCGATTGAAAATGCACTATGGCGACTTTAAGTTTTCCATCAAGGACATTAAATATGGCAGCCCATTGATTCAAACACTACAGCCAGAGACATTCGACCAGGGACGAGTGTCTAATGCAGATCCAACCCCATTGAAACACAGAATTGAGAGAGAGATACGAAGTGTCMGAACAGTTACCCATACAACTACTAGCTCATGGAAGGCAGCTCATGAGCTTGGGATCGAGATTTCCTACGCTCCACCCGGTGCTACAGGAGGAGTTGGTGGGAAATTCAACTATAAGTTCAACTACGRGACCTCACAGACCAACACAGACTCTACCGCCAATCAACAATACAACAGCATCAAGATCCTATCAGAGAAGACTCTTGACCCAAACACCGCAGCTAACTACAAGATAATGCTGTCTAAGAGTCGAACAACGGTTCCTTATACTGCTACTATCATCGCTCACTTCTCTGCTGAACTTGACGGATTTCTGAGATGGGGCGGAGGATATAACGGAGATTCAACGAACTACCATTATCAGTAAGTATTAGAGGTAAATACAAATTGATTTGATTCGCATGTGAAACACTTTGGTCATTTTTAATACCCTGTTTTGTGAGGCCAAAATGATCTGTCAATCTCGTTTATATTCTACAAGAACAAAATCACATCAAATTTCAAAAAAAAAAAAAAAAA